AAAACTTGGAGCTGAGCATTATATTAAGAAAGACTTTTCTTTTACTCTGGTTGCGAATGTATAAGATTGATTGGAAGCAAATAGATGAGAAGCCTTCTAAGTTTTTGAGGAATTCTTGCAAAATAAACCATAACCCATGAGATTTATATGTATTAACAATACTTAAAACTACCACATTTTTATAATTTTACTGAATCTGACAGTGGGAAATTATATCTAACTGAAATTTAAACATGTACTTTCCTGTGCTGGGAGAGTGGCTCAAGCAGTAAGAGCGCCTGCCTAGCAAATGTGAGGCCCTGAGTTCAAACATGTACTTTCCTGATGATCAGTGAGGTTGTGGGTCTTATTTTTTTTTTAGCCATTCCTCTTTCCCTTTCTATGAAATGCCTGCTCATGGTTTGCCAATTTTTAAAATGTATTTGTCTTAAAAAAAAATCTTTTAAAATTGATTTTCAGTTCTTCATCTATTCTGTGCACTAATATTTTTCCAGGTATATATGTTCCAAATAGCTTCTCTCAGTTTGTGAACTGATTTTTTAAATGTTAACAGAGTCAAATTAATGCATTTTTCTTTTATAATTTAATGTATCATGGATCTTGTTTAAGAAATCCTTCCTTCCCAAGTGTCATAAAGCTATCATCTAATGTTTATTTTAAAAATCTTATTTTTCACATTTAAGTCTTTAGTTTTCCTGGAATTAGTTTTTGCCTATGGATTGAGATAAAGATCCAATTTCGTTTCTTTCTATGATCTCCTGACATATATCGAGTTTGTCTAGATGTATCAGTCTGTTTGGGGGCGTTTTATTTCCTGTTTGCTGTACCGTGCCATTACCACCTTCTAGTGACCACTTTGACTTGACATTGTAGTAAATGTTAGTACTTGGTCAGCACACCTCTTCTACCTGTTCTGCTTCTCCAGGAATAATTGGGCCTTCTTGGCTCTTGAATTTTTCTGTATATCTAAAAGCAGTTTATGAGGTTCAATACAGTGCTTGAATTCACTTTGGATTGGAATTGTTTTAACTTGTAGATCAGCTGGCAGCATTATCACCTTTATGATACTGAATCTTATTCAATAGCATGTAAATACATGATATCCACAAACATGTTATAATCGTCATTACTTGTATCTTTATGTTTTTCTTGCATGTATTTTGTTAAGTGTAGTTATTCCTGGAGAAGTCATTTTACCCACAGTTCCTGATGAAGAAGCTGATATTGAGGGCAGTTAATGGGCTTCTTATAAAGTAAAAGGATTCTACTCCAGTTCCTAATCCATGGCTTTTTTTCCTCCAACCTATTCTGCCTCATTTAATTTGAAACATGCAATTCAGATATAGCATGGATCACATCGCACCTGCCAGGTCAGAAACACCTAGTTCTTGTCAGATATGCTGTACTGTGTCCCTTCCATGAGTGCCTCTCCCGAATCTGTCCTTATAATCGCACTGGTTTTAAGAGCAGGCACTTCTGGATATCAGGAGCGTGCTTGTTTATGAAGATAATGTGCAACATGGAAAACCTGATATACCTTACTCTTGTTTTGGGGAAAGTCTTTATGTCAGTTGTGAAGCAGTTCAGTTTTTTTTTTTTTTTTCAGGACATCTTTTCAGTGTGAAAAAATAGACGCTTTTGTCAGCAAGAAGAATGGTTCTTACAGTAAGGATGGATTAAATTTTGCAGCCATGTTTACAAAGTGAGCTTCTGTTCACACTAATCCTAGCTAATGTCCTCTTGTTGATGAGCAATAATCTTGGCATGCCAACACCACTGGAGATCCTATTTACTGCACAACTCCAGAGATGCTTGACTGCTCTGACAGATAGGAAATCAGGAGAGTTCCATTTTGTGAATAAGACACAGACAGAGATGATCTTTTGAGAATACCAGCTGGCCTCATTCCAAAAGAAGGTCATAGATGGTCATAAAAGATGGAGCCAACTAAAAATGGTATGACGGAGATACAAAATTGTATTACAGAGTAAAAAGGGACCTTTGGGGAAGGGCAATGTCATACTATATAACACTGGACACAAATCCCTAAATGACTTTGTACCATTTCAGTATTAGAGGTTGAAGGAGCCCAAGAGTGCCAGGACTGGAAAATGTAACAGAAGGGAGATATGGGGGACTTTGGATAGAAACAGGAGCTCAACCGCAGTGAGTGGGGGCTCCTGCTGAGGAAGTGGGTCGGTAGCTGACAGAATGTGGAAAATTTCTGTCACCCCAAGCCTCCAGTCATCTCTGCTCTATTCACTCTTGTGAGTGGTGAAAATGATGCGGGCTCCACAGCTGGTTGGGTGAGGAGTGAAGGGAGCAGAAGAGCTGTACGAGTGAGACAAGGAGGGTAAGAGACCAGAGGGACAGACATGGAGAAGCTCACTGGTCTCCTGCAATGAGCAGAAATCATGGGACAAGTGTGGACACCAATGTGATTTAAATCCAAAAGTACAGCAAAACCTCAGCTACCTCAACAGAATTAGGCCCTGAACCTACCGGTCATGATGCATCTTTTAGATTTCAAAATATATCAACATAGAACTACCATATGTTCTGGCTATACCACTCTTGGACATATACCTATAGGAATGCAAGTCAGGATATAATAGAGACACCTGTACACCCATTGTGTTTATTGTAGCACTATACACAATAGCCAAGCTATGGAGTTAAGCTAGATGCTCATCAACAGATAAATGGATGAAGAAAATGTATATATATATACATATATATATATATATATGTATACATATTATGTATACATATATATATATATATATATATATACATATGTATATATATATACAATGGAGTATTATTCAGCCATAAAGAAGAATGAAAGTGTGTCATCTGCAGGAAAATGGATGGAACTGAAGATCATAATGCTACACAAAAAAAAAAGTCATGTCCAGAAAATAAATATTGCATGTTTTCTTGCATATGCAGAATCTAGACATAAAAAATATGTTTACAACATGAATGTGAACATAGGACTGGCTGGGAAGGGTTGAGTAGAAGAGGGGAGAGCAAAAAGAGGAGGGTCATGGGGATGAGTGATATAGAAAAGTACATATGTCTATGTATGAAAACAGCATCATGAAGCAGTCAACATCATAAAAGATGGGAATCAGAGATAAGAAAGAGCAATAGAGGGGGTTAATTCGATGAAACTATGATATGCATGTATGGAAATATCACAGTGAAGCCCCTTTTTTCAGTTAATATACACACTTAATAGTAAAACATTTTTACAGTTAACAGTAAAACATTAAAAAAAAACTATATCAAAACAAAAGCTTCAGGAGATGAGACTGGGAGAGTGCACAGATAGCAAAGCTCTGGCAAGGGTGACATGAGGGGGCTGCCATGCCAAAGACTTTGGATTTTAATAAAAAACAAGTTTTAAATTTTTTGACGTCTTCTTTCATTCACTACCTCTTTTTGTTTTTTTTTTTACAACGTTCTTCCTCATGGGAGGCAGCCTGATTTAGGTGGAGGGCATGAGCTGCCTGTCAGTCATGTGTGCATTTGAATCCCAGTCCTGTTACATGCTACCTGTAGAAACAAGCAAATTGCTTGACCTTTGAGCGTGTCATTATCTGTAAAATACCAGTGCGGAGGCTGGGCAAAAGGAAAGGAGATAGCCAACAGAAATAGAAAGGTCCTAGTGTCGTGCCTGCCTGTGGTCAGGAACCATGCTATGTATGCACCTGTCATTCCCAGCCTCTGTACCACTCCTGATGTGCAGCAGAACTGAAGTGAAATCCGGTGAAGACACTAAGACTTACATGCCTCTGTCTCTCCTCATTCTCCTAGGGGAAGACACATGGGTTACGTTTACATGAGCCCACCAATCTCTGTGAATCCTCTTGACTGTTTCACACCACATGGTGAAAAGGAGCTCGAAGAGGGGTCAAATAAGCTCAGTCTTTGTCTAATACCGGTCTTAGCTCTGAGTTTGTAAAAGGGGAGACTTAGAGAACACTTAGTCTAGCCCTTCATGTTAACCCCTTGGAGCCCAGAGAGGTCACATGACTTAGAAGGTGGCCCAGCCCTTGGCGGTGCATCTGGGACAGAAAGCAGCTCTTTTTAATTCCAGATACCTTGTGTTGTGGCTTGTGGCCCTTGTCTGAGTGTGTGTGGCTGTGTGCATATGTGTAAGTGTGAGCTTGGGGGTTAGAAGGTGTGTGTATTTGTATATATTTTGTATGTCTGGGCCTGTGGGGTAGGGCCCATGTGTGAAAGGAACAGGAGGAAACATGAAACCTAAGCAGAGCCAACCTCACTCTACAGACCTGGCTTATTACAGCAAGTACAGAACCAGGACCCTTTCTCCTCCTTCTGGACTGCTAGTTTGCTGTTTCTTCTCCAGGGTGACCTGAGTCAGGTCCAGTCACCTTGTCAGGGAAGCAGCGCCGGCCTCTGGGTCTCAGAACTCTTGCATAGGAAGTGCTCTGTATCCAGGTTCACCAAAAAGGAACTTGGGGAAGGGTCCCTAATGGCCTATGTCAGCCGAATTGGTGGGTCAGAGACAGCATGTGGACCATGCCTTGCCTGGCTTAGGGCCCAGGACAGATCTGTGGACAGATGGTAGATCTACCGATCTCTAAACTCAAGCCAAATAAGAAAGTCCCTCCCCGTGCTGGCTGAATGTATGTTGTCTTCCTCCAACAGTCTCTCACACATCTCCCAGAAAACCATAAGACTGGGGTGGCTCTCCAGCCTGCCTCAAAGCTGCTTCGAGGATGGTCTGCCAGCACAGCCTGGCCAGAACCACGTTGCTCCCTTCCTTCTCCCAATTTTCAGGGAGGCCAAATGGAAGACAGAGCCTGCCAGGGCAGCCTTTGGTGGGTCTGGTCTGTTGGCTGGGTCCTGATTTAACCAAGCAGGTTTGTGTTTAATGATGTAGCCTTGACCATCCAGGAAGTCCCAACTCACTTCTGCTGCAGGAGCCAAATGAACCAAGAGTTGGGAGCTGCAGAGTGGAGACTTACCTGAGCAGTTGGAAATCACAGTCTCTTGGACTTTGCTTTTAATCCAAATAGTTCGGATCACAATGCCATAGATGACGCTGTAGAAAGGACCAAAAGGAATGTTAAGGAATGTTAAAATGGCTGCTGGGTCCCTACTGTGAGGATTAGGCAGACACTCCCACTCCCTGAGGGTGAGGGCCAGAGGGAGGGGCCTCTAACTTCCCCTGCTCCCTGTACTTGCATAGCTGGAGGAAACACAAGATCAATTGGATATAGTCACTTGTTTCTTAGTTGAGGACCTGGGGAAGTTAAGTAATCCATGTACTTTGAGATACAACAGTGATTAGACTCCAAATACAGGCTTTGCAGGCAGAAAGACCTAGGTTTTCTCTACTGTGTATTTGTTGTATGACCTTGACTTTGGAGTCTGGGGTTTGTGTGCGCGTGTGTGGTGCTGCAGATGGAACCCAGGTCCTGTGCATGCTATGCAAGCATCTACCACTTAGCTACATCCCTAGGCCTTGGTTTTTTGATACATAGTCTTGCTATGTAGCTCAGGCTGGCCTCAATCTTAGGATCCTTCTGCCTCAGCCTCCCCAGTGCTGGGATTACAGATGTGTACCACCACACCTGATTAACTTTGGAAAATAAGGAAGATGGCCTTTGTGTTCTTGCCTTCATGTGATCCAAGGACAGGACAGGGATCCAATTAATCCCTGTCTAGACCCTTTGATCTATAGAAACTGACATAATAGATATATATTGCTTCTGATCAATCTGATGTGGTATGTGTGTTATGGTTTGGATATGAAATGTTCCCCACAGGCTCATGTATTGAATGCCTGATCTCCAGCTGGGTGGTGGTTCTGGAAACTTTAGGAGATGGGACATAGGTGAAGGATGTATGTCACTAGGGAAGGGCATTTAGGTTACCTTATCCCTGGTCCCTTCCTGTGTTTCTCTCTGCTCCTGGCTGCTATGAGGTGAAGAAACTCCTCTACCTCATGTTCCTGCTACCAGGATGCCGTGCCTTGGATGAGCTCAGAAACATGAAGCCAAGTGACCATGAACTGAACCCTCTGTAACCATGAGCCCACATACATCTTCCTCCTACAAGTTGTTCTCTTGGGTATTCTGGTCACAGCGATGCAGTCAGATGAACACAGCATTGATTACATAGAGCAGGGTGCCAGCTTCTGGGATTCTAGTGGCCTCAATGAAATTAATTAATTTAAGAAACTGGGGGACCTTGGAAAAGATCCTTCTGCATTGAAGCCTCTGATGACACCTCCTTTCCCCAAAGCCCTAGCTAGCACCGTGATGGCCATGGTGCTCAAATCGGGATCCAATTAAGCCCTGTCCAGACCCTTGCCCTATAGAAATTGACATAATATATGTATAGCATTTTAAGTCACTAGGCTTGTGATAATTTGTTGTACAGCTATTGATAATAATACAGTGAGCGTCAGTTGATACTCTGTAAAATGCAGTCAACGATACACAGCTCTTGAATTTCTGAATGTCAAATGTGACAATATCTCAAGTGCCAAGCACAGTACTTGAAAATCATGAAGACCAAAAGTGAAATTTCCTTTCTCTGTCTCCCTCTCCCACACATACACACACCTATTTTCACATCCTATCACACTTAGTGTTGGATGATACAACCTGTACCTAACAGGTTTATACCATCAGCATGTATTGTATTGTTTCTCCTTTGATGAATATACAAACTTAGACTCTTTTTAATATTTTTTAACATGTAAAATTTATTAAGTACCTCAACTAAAAACTTAGGGACAAAGCATGGCTTTATTTGAAAACTGCATAATCTTTCCTCTTGAGAATCACTAGTTAAAAAAAGTCAGAGCTCCAGTTTGTAGCAGCTGACAAAGCACTAATTGCTTTTAATGATCTTTAGACTATAACTTAATTAATGACTGAGTTAAAACCCTCTATTCCTTATTGCCTCTTCCCATTCCTTGCTCAGCAAACTCCTCTGAGGGCTCCAGGGAATCTTGGGGCCTTTTTGGAGCATTCCTTTCCTTCATATATTCCTGATCAGGGACTTTTCTGGCGTTTATATGTCTTCATTAAAGAAAAAAATGAGAAAAAAAGTTAGTGCATCTACTCTTCACCCTACATTAAATATTTGTTAGATCAGGGAAAAAGTCATTTCCCAAGCAAATGAGATACAAAGAAAGTTTCCAACTACCACGGAACATTAATGGGACCTGGCAATTATAATCCTAGTATTTAATTGATCTGTAATTCAAATACTTACTATCAACCATACATACAATGGAAAAGTTATAAAAGTTCTTATGTGATAGAGTTTGGTCCCAAGTCATCCTCTATTTTTGGACCAATCAGAAATGCCTGGCAGAGAGTAAGGATAACTTGCTATTTATGGAACTAAGAAAAATGGAAGTCCTGGAGGACATAGTTCATTGGCACTGCAGCTGATGGATTTCCAAGGCAAAGAAAAGTAAATGGATGTCCTTAGCAACACCCAGTACCACTGAGTTAGTTCACAGATTTTTCTCAGACTACCAGAAGAGGAAGTGACTTTAAAGCCTTTAGCGGTTCACATGAATTCACTGATATTTGGGGCTAGCAGGTATGAACTGTTGGGTATCAGTCAGGATCCTTTGGTGACAAGTTACATAAAACTCCAAACTCAAATTGTCTTATGCAGTTAGAATATTTATTATCTCCCATAACTGCAACTTCTAAGGCAGGGCTCACTGAATTTTAAGAAACCTGGGTTCCTTCCATGTCTCCCCTTCTTTTCAGTATTGCTGATGGTTCCAGGGATCACTTACACAGCAATGGAGGAAGAGAGCTTCCTTTCCTTTCTTAAGAGTGGGAAATTCTTTTCCAAAGTGCTCCAAAAGACATTCTCTTGCATCTCATTGGACAGAACTCGATTATTCTCCTGAACCATTTACACGCCAAGGGGAAGAGTTGCCTTGGCAGCTAGGAGAGGAAGTGGAATGGGTTTTGGAAATTCAACCACAAACATCCACCACCAGCCATCCACATAATGCCTTTTCCAAGACATATCTCTCACTATCTCTTGGGTAACAATATATAGGATGTCACTTCTTTTTCTGATGTGATGAGTGGACTCAGGCCCCAACATTCTCCTTAGCCTTGGACCTCTTGCCCATGGATGGTGGTAGCCAGTCCCTGGGGCACTTTTACCCACCACAGATTTGCACTCCACGAGGGACCAACCCAGCATGGAACTTTTTCATGGTCTGAGCCTTATCTCCCAAGCAAAATAGATTTTTGATGCATATCACAAATCAGCACTCCATGACTAATGTGCATTTTCCCACTTATTCCTTGGCAATTGTTGGCCACAAATCTTTTCTGCCTATACCTTTTTCTCACAGAGATAAAAATGATAGGAGGGTGAGAAATCAATTAGGTCACAAGAAAATAGGCATAGCTAAAGTGAAGCAATTACACCAGGGCTAATCAGCTCCCCTGCAACAATTAGACAGTTCTGTCAGTGAATTTTGAAACCACAGGAGTTGTTTTCACCCAGAAAAGCAGTGCATTGCCTTTGCTGTCAGTCACTATGACTTCAAGTCCTGGGAGCCTTATTTAGGTGAAGATGGAAGAGCGACATCTTTATTCATACACAGCTCTCAAGAGAGTTTGCCACAGATGACACAAATGCCTCCCCTCCTCTCTCTTTCCTCCATCCCCGTCATCCTACCTCCTTTCTCTCTTTTCTTTGTTTCATCTTTCCTGCCACATATACTTATGGATGAATTAACATGTGACAAAAATTGATCTAGGCATTATATAAGCAAGAAATTCCTATATTAGGGTTTATGCATGTTGTGTGTGTGTGTGTGTGTGTGTGTGTGTGTGTGTGTAGGGAGAGAGAAAGAGACAGGAAGAGAGAGACAGACAGAAAGAGAGGTATGACCCTTAGATATGACAGAGATGAAACTGCAGCAACTATATCAGGAACTAATTATAAAACAAATTCCACACAAAATCCCACTTGGGCCTGGTTTTAGTTCAAGAGATGGAGGATGTCTTGTCCTCCGGAGAGGACACTCCCTTTCTTTGCCCATGGAGGAGTGAAGATAATGGATGAGCATGGGGCTCCTTGTCAGGTAGAGATGCTTCAGAGATGTTCAAGGACGAGGAAGGTCAATGACATTTTGTAGTTCCTCTGTGGCTGGAAGCAAGGAGCAGGAATTAAGGAGACCTTAGTTTGAGTGAAATCAAATTTATTATTTCACTTTTGAAATCATTTCTCTTAATTAACAAACAAATTGTAAATTGCCTTTCCAAGGGCTCTAAAAACACAAAGATAGGTGTGAGCAAGTTGCAGGAGAGTCCAGGTGTTAAAGCAGCTGGAATTAAGGCAGAAAAGACATTTCAGACAGTGAAAGACTGAGTGGAAGATCTGTCCAGACATAGGACATTGTGACCTCTGTGTGACATTTTGTGCCTTCACAGCTACGTGTGAGCAGAGGCCTTGATGGAGTAGATTTCTGGAGCAGATGGGAAATCAATGAAGAGGGAAGCCTGGACCCACTGCCACTGAAACAGCTCCTCCCAAATGTTTTCTTCACACTGCATCTGCCCCTTGTCCCTTTCAATGCTGCTGTTGTCTCTACGACTTGCCTTTGGCTGGATGTCTAAAAAGTTCCATCTTTCTTTCCGGCCATCTCCCATGTTCGACATGATGGGGTGTAGAGGGAGTTAAGTTGGAATAAAATGCAGATGTTAACTTGTACATTCAGTAGCAACGTTTGGACAACATCCATTCTTGGAAGGGCTACAGGTGTAGCTATTGGGGTCATGCTTTCTCTGCCTGCTCCACCTCAGAGGAGGAGCCATTGGTGAGCTTTCATCCCTGAGTACTCCTGTGGACTACACAGCATTTTAAGAGACTGAAAATGAGCAATGAGTACAAAAAGGTGATTCCTATGATATCAGGAACCACTTGAAAAATAGTCAAGAAGTTTAATAATTAAATAAATGCATATTAAAACAATGAGGTACATTTTCCTAATCTTATAGTTTGGGAAAGATTCAATAAGGAAATGCTACTGTCTTCCATTGGGCTGGGGGAGGGAAACCAAGAGCCCTCTTCCACTGTTGTCTAGAGCACACCTCTGCTAGAAAGCAGTATGTGAAGAGGCCTCTGAAGACTTAAAATGAGCATCATGTTTGATCCATAAATTCCACTAGATGAATTCCAAGAGAATATTCAAAGACACATGTACAATTAGAACCATAAGGATTTCTATCACTTCACTAGTTATACTATGAAAAACCAAAGGCTGACCTTCCTTTTCCCAGGTCATTATGTGACATGTCATGGCAGGTGTGGGGCCACCCAATAGGTACATGACCTGTGTACACACCCAGCATGGAAGTTCTCTCCCTGCAGTACTTCACCCCATCCACACAGGCAGGGCCACTTTTCATAGGGTGTGCCTGCTCTATGACTGAGTGAGACCCTGCCTTGACCAGGCTGCTGTAAGCATTTCTGTAAAAAGACCATCTATGGCTGTAGGACCAAGGGACATCCGATTATTTGGATTGCCAAGGCCCTTCACACCTGAGCCTCCCTACAACCACTGAGAAGAGGTCATTAGCAACTCTCCCTTACAGCACTGCCTGCCTACTTACTTTGACCTCTGCTTACCAGGGAGCCTGCTTCCCCCCAACTCTCCTTCTCCTACCTTAATTCTTCTCCCCTTCAATGATGAATTCCAAGTCCATTACCTGACAACACATATACATTTGTTTTAGCATATTAGTGTGCACATACTGAGTGTTTTGTTGGTATGCTTTGAATATGTCTGTCTTTTCATTTATAAAATCCCTGAAGCTGGTATTATGTCCTGTATTTAAAAGCTTGTATGATATGGAAGAAAGAATAGGGTATGAAGTTAATCCTGGATTTCAATCTTGTGTGATATGGGATATGTTACCTAACCTCTCTGAGCTTGGATTTTTTCCATCCATAAAATGAAGACAGCAGTACTTATTTCACAGGATTGTATGAGATAATTGTTAGCCACTTAGCACAACATGCACCCTAAACTACATTCTCTGTAGATATTAGTTCCCTCCTCCTGACTCTACTTGGGAGTAGTTGGGCTTAGCCCATGGTAGCTTTAGATAAAATCTTCTGTCCTAGTCCTCGTCCCCTTAGGAGCAGGGAGTGACCTCGAGGAGAGGAGAGCAGCTCCCATGTGGACCCGGCCTGCTGGTTGCTTACCTGATGATTGTCAGAGGGATGAAGTATACCAGGAAGGCCACGATGGTCATGTACGGGGTCCAGTAGGAGTCATCAGGCCACAGGGCCCAGCACTGTACTTCTCCGTTGGAGAGTGTCCTTTTCCCAAATATGATCAGGGTGGGAATGGAGAACAGAAAAGAGAGGCTCCAGGCAATTCCAATGAGGACCTTGGCTTGTTTCTCTGTTCAAAGGAAGGAAAAAGAAGCCTGGACACCTGGTAACTTCCTTTGGGGCACACTTGAACTCTACTGAGGAAAAGATCTCTGAGGGAGAGGCACCTAGACCTCTAGGGCCTCCACTGCCTCAGTTTCCTCCTGTGTAAATGAGCATGATGGTACCTGCACATAGGGCTGATGTCTACAATGCATATCTCCCACCGGAAGTGCACAGAGGCTCCCATTTCCCCAATCCTAAGAAGATCATTCCTTTAATCTTTTTATCTAATTAGTCGGTTTTTCTGTGCAAATGTGTAATTCTTTAATTACTAATCAAAATAAGCATTTCTATATGGCTTCTATTTGTTTGGGTTCCTTTGTTTCTTAATCTGTCTTTCATGTCCTTTGCCCATTTGCTGGTATGTGCTTATTTCTTTGCTGAAGTTCTTCCTCAGAAGGATTTTAGCTCTTTGCTAGTGACCTATAAGTATCTTCCATTTGCCATTTTGCTTTTCCTTTATGATGTTTATTATTTGTACAAGCAGTTTAATCTTTTGGATGCAGTATAAACTATCATTATTTCCCTTATTGTTTATGCTTTTGGTATGATTCCTAAAAAGACCTTTTCTTTATGAAACATACAAAAGTTTTACCCTAGGTCCTTTTAGTGTTTTAATATTAATCTAGATCTAAAATGATGATGATGATGGTAATAATAATGGGACTTGAATGTAAAAAAGGTACCGATTGGGGGGACCAGCAAGATGGGGGAGGAGGAAAGGAGAAGGTACTGGAGAGTAAAGAGAATCAAAGTACCTTACATATAAAAGGACAGCATAACGAAACCCACCAAACACTATTTGAAAAATCAGTGAGGAGGGAGAGAAGTTAAGGGAATATATGCTAACGAAAATAGTGAAAAACAATTTACTTTTGCAATCCAACTGGAATATAAGCAGGTAATATTTAATAATGTAAATATTAACTTATGTGATGATTTAATATTTTTTGAATGGCTAGAGAGCTAGTACAATATTATATATTGTGTAACTGATTCTTTTCCAACAGATTTGAAGTCTTCCATGCTTTACATAGGCTATGCTGGTTGCAGTATAATATTGTTCTGATTATCAGAATTTGAGATGTTTTAATATCTGACACTGTGTATTTCTCTTCCCTGATATTATTGATATTTTTCCAATTACATCTATTTTCCTTGAAAAGCCTTAAAATTACCAACTTCTCTGAAGTTTCTGGATCAGGAAACTGTCACTTTAGTAAAAAAACAGTAAGAAATACATTTGCCATTCCTGTGTTATTTTATTCCTCTGTCACTACTCAGTGAAATGGCCACATCTCCCCTCCTTCTTCCAGCACTTAGATGGCGTTCATTATACTGATTTTGAAGTTCTACTTGCTCTCTTAACTTTGTTTTCCTTACGTGTAAATTCTTTGGAATGGTATTTTAAATGTTATCCATTTTCCAGTTTGGCTTTTGTTACATTTTTTATGATATTTGATTCCTCATCGTTTTTGTAGTCAAGATTTCTTTTCAATTTCTTCATATCATCAGTTTTGGTCAGCTTTGGGGAAGGTAAATATTGGGCATATAGTGGGTTGGGTCACCTGCTCTACCTCTTCAAACCCAGTATCACCTTGCCTTGGAAGCAGAGGCCTCCATCTGTGCTGCCTAGGCTCTTCTTCTGCTCTGGGAATTTCCATGGTCTGTTCTGGAAGTGCTCCAAGCACTTTGCTTGCACCACCACGAACATCATCTAGGATCTGGTGGGCTGTGTAGTTTCTCTCACCCAGTTGCTTCCTTCCTTCAGGGAACCCTTACATTTCTGGATCAAGGGTAGCTCCCTGGTCAGCAATGATACTCAATTAAAAATGTCTTTTCAATTTTTTTCCTGTGGTTTGGGGTAAGGAGGATTAAGTGTCTGTTTTTGGAAAATGGACAAGTTAAAACAAGTGTTCTTGTCTTTGTACATGTGTGCTTGTCAACATGACTGTGAAGGAACAAGGCAGATACATTACTTGAAGGTCAATGATTGCAATGTGGACCCAGACAGCCACATTCCTTGGATGCTCTGGCCCGTCCCTGGAACCATAGCATTTTTGGCACCTAAGCTTTATTTTTTAGACAACCACAACCAGACACATGAAGTAAGGAAGGAAGTGAAGGAAGAGAACAACAAAGGGAGAGATGAGGAAAGGAAGGAAGAAGGGAGGAAGAGAACAATAATTAAGAATACAATGTTAATGAAAACAACCCTAACTTCATTCAAAGATGACGCTTTATGAAAGATCTTTTGCTCACCTCCTTGCAGAAACTTCATGGGGTAGACGATGGCATGGTATCTGTCTATGCTGAGGGACACCAGGACATAGGTAGAAGCATAGAGCAGTACGACCTAAAGATAGAAAGAGCGAAGCCTATGACTCTTGCAGGCCTTCTTCCCTGTTACTGATATTTTCCCAATCACATTTGAAGATGTATGTTATGACTGTATAGTCATGATACATGTCATAATTGCATAGTGTCCTGTGCCATTTAGAAACCTTGGGATTGGACCAAGGTAGGGATGAGGGTTGGGTTAGGGAGGGGAATGACTGGCTGGTCCTCCCTTCTGGGAGCAAATTGCAGTTGTTAGTGCTGGAACTTGCATTGCTACTGAGAATGAGAGACAATGCTTCCAACTCCTACTCATTCAAATAGCTTCCTGGAAATTCCATATTTCAGGAGCATTTCCTCTTGACATTTGCATGGTACATTTATTTGTAATTGACTTTTTAAGTAAACTAATTTTCTCTGCCACAATTGACATTCCAGAATAATTAGAAGCAAAAGTTCACTTTCCTTTTATCAGTGTGAGTAGTTGGGAGATGACAGAAGTGTTCCGGTTTCAGGGAGCCTGTGTGCTGTTCTGAATCATTTATCATTAGCAGTGCTGGCACCATCAGAGAACTCCCCTCCTGCTTCCTCTTGCACTGCTCTAGCAGACATGTTGCCTAGGGTCAGATCCCGAGTCTCTGTCTCCTCTTGCTCTTTCCCATTCTCTTTTTTATTAACCTTAACCACACCCATTAATTATCTTGTGTGCAGTATTATTTGCATACTCCGCAGAAGAGGAGATTGGGGCATAAGAAGTTAATATCTCTTCTGTGCAGGGCATACTTAAAAGGCACTTAAAGGGAATATCTCTGAAAAGATGACTATGGTGGAAATGTTTCAGGTAACTTTTTAAAAAATCCTTTTTTTATTATTGTGCTGTAGGTACACTCTGACATTTATAAAAGTTCTTTCAATACATCATAGTTTAATTCATTTCTTCCATCATTCTCCTTCCTCTTGTTTTTTTTGGTGGAATAGAGGTTTGCACTCAGGGCTTCATGTTTGGAAAGCAGGCACCCTATTGTTTGAACCACACCCACAATCCTTTTTTGCTCTGGTTATTTTGGAGATGAAATCTCAAGAGTTATTTGCCTAGGCTGGCCTTAAACCACAATCCTCCTGATCTCAGCCTCCCAAGTTGCTAGGATTATAGGCATGAGCCACTGGTACCCAGCTGTTTCAGATGACTTAAAGTCTCATTTTCACAAAGAGTTCGGCTGTATCTGCTTGTAAAGTTAGGATTAAATCTTAAAGGGGTAGAAGAGTAACTTGAAGACTAAAGCCCAAGGGCAAGTGTCTGATTTTCTTCTTGGCAGAGTTCATCTTTGTTCTGACATTGTACCTTTTTTGTTCTTTTTCCTTAGACAAATAACAACCAATTACATTTGCACTTCAAGGTTTGATGGGTTTACATCCTAATACACCCATTATAAGTTGAAAATATATTAATTTGATAATACATTTAACAAATCTAACCTATTGAACATCATAGTTTAGTCTGCCTTAAGTGTGCTCAGAAGACTTGCATTAGTCAACAGTTGGGCAAAGTCATCTAACACAAAGTCTATTTTATAGAAAGTGTTGAATATCTCATGTAATTTATTGAACACTGTTCCAAAGGTGCAAAATAGAATGATTATATGGGTATAATATATTTGGCACCATCATAGTCTAAGAATCATCAGAAGTTGGGGACCATCTGTATACTGTCATTCTTTATTTTTATCTCTCTAACACTACCACACATGCTTCTCAGCACTAATGTTGTAGAAGATAACATAGGAGAAGGGTTGTGAAGAATGGTCAGAGATTGAAGGCTCTCCGGAGGGACATAAAAATGTTCTCTTCTTGAGCAAAAGGTGACAATTGGAGAAAGAGAAAATGGATGTCTAAATTTAAGGGAAAAATTTAGTCTATTGTCTCCTTAGAGAAAAGTTAGGTTTCTACTTGTGACCCACAAATTCAGAATGATGAAGGTTGGCCCTGGACAGTTAAGGAAATGGCATTGGAGAAGGATGGGGAAGACAGTACTTGGCAGGGTAGAAGGTCATGGTGGGAAGGTCATAAGGACCTTGGATGTTTGGGGTGAGAGAGCTGACAGGGTCACAATCTGGGGTAGGAGGAAGAATCACCAAAAACAGGTTTCCAGGGCAGCAGGCAATGTTAACAAGAAGAGATCAATGTTGAGACACAATCAAAAAGAGAATGTAGTTTCAGAGATTAAACAGCTTCAAACAACTAGGCAGAATAAAAAAAATGAAAGGTTATCTAAAAGAAATGTATCTCAAATTATCATGCTTCTTCACCACAAAAATAAATGCCAGAGAGCAGTATGAGAACATGTGCAAAGTTTCAAAAGAAAATTGTGATCCAAGGATTTTGTAAATATCATTCTTGTGCCAGGATGAACAATTTTTTTTTAGGCATATACGAAGGAAGGAAATCTAACAGGGACACTCTTCCTTAAAGTCCCATTGAGGAAGGACTGCTGCTGGTTGAGAATTATTTCAAAATGAAGAACTCAAGAAGTGGAAAGAGGATAAAAGAGTACAAGTTATGGCAAGCAATGAAGTTACCAAGATGCACATTGTTTACGAAATAGTTGTGAGTATAGTTACTGAACATTTCAAGGAAAAATCTGGGGAGCTGAATGAGGGAAGAGAGTCATAGGAATGATATCATGCTAAATTCCACTTAGACCTTTTAAAGCTCTCTTGTTTTATACTTTGATAGAGATACAGTAAATCTAAAAATAAAGATAAACTATGATAGAGTAAAATACAAATGAGAAAAATAATGTATTAGTTTCCTATAGTTACTATAGCAAGTTACTACTGGTTTGATGGTCTAAAACAGCATACATTTATTCTCTCACATTTTTGGAAACCATAAGCCTAAAATCAGTTCTACTGGGCCAAAATCTAGGTGTTAGCAGGGCCTTGGTCCTTCCAGAGCCTCTAGAATAGAATCCAGCTCTTGCCTCTTCCAGCTTTAGGTACCTGCTGGAGTTTGGTTGCTTGTGACCATATCAATCCAGTATTGCCCTCTGTGGTTACAGTGCTTTCTCCTCTCCTGCCTGTGTGTCAAATCTCTGTCTGCCTCCTTCTCAAGGACTCCCAGGATTATTTGAGATAATCTTCCCATTTGAAGATTCTAAATTTAATCATTTTGTAAAACCCCTTTCATCATATAAGGTAGCATATATAGGCGCCCATGATTAGGATATAGGTAGCCTGGGGAATATTGTTTTAGTCTACCACAATTAATAATCAATTAAGGAAAAAACAAGCAAAGAGCAAGAAAGATACAGAAAATTTAAAGTGAGTTGACTGAAGTTATACTCAACACTATTCCTAAACAATAAATATGACCAGATTAATTCCCTTCCTTGAAACAAAGACTCTTTAAAACAAAAACTGTCCTTTAAGTCCAACTGTGTACTGTTCAGAGTAGAAACAAATAAAATAATATCAAAATTTAAAAACAGAGGGATGGTCAAAGGCATATCAAGCAATTAAAAACTAAAAGCAGGCATTTAAAAAATAATGTTATAATATAAATTAAACTCAAGGCAAATAGAATTACATGTGACAGGGAGATTGTTTAATGTTGAAAAAAGACACGATACATAATAGCAACAGAATATTCATGAACATATATGTAACAAATAACACTATGTATATAAAAATGCTTAAAGTTTTAGAGGTGAAAAAATCAACAAAAAATGTAAATAGGAAAAATTAAACTCTGTAACAAGGATGACACACACTATTGTAAAATCCTTAAACAATATTTTCAAAGTTGATCATATACTAAACTGCCTAAAAAGAAAACCTCTCAATAGATTCCAAAAAGTAGAACTTATGAAATTCACATATTTTAAACAATAAACCATGAAGCTGAAATTAGTAACACGTTTTTTTAAAATACCACTTGGAAATTCAAACATCCTCATAATTAATTCAAGTCAAGAAGGAAATCAAAGTACAATTTTAGTCAATTCATAAATGTCAACAATGAAACTCTACATATCAACAACATATGGGATGCCATTCGGAGGACAGATGGCAGCTTCAAGACATATGTCTGAATTCTCACTACCCCACCCCTTAATTGTGACAGAAATGACCTAGGAAATATGAAACTCAAGAAAATGTTGCAAAGAGAAGTGAGATTTAAATGCTGGAAACAAAGAAATCTCACTTACAAAAATGACAGATTGGATTCCCATAAAGTACGATTCTTGGATTGATTTTAAAATAGATACTGAACAAAAATACTTTACTTTTTAGAGCAATTTTATATTTACAAAAGAGCTGTAAATAGTGTAGAGAATTTCTGTATTACCAATCCCTCACCTACACACTTTCCCCTACAATGGAATAACACTCTGTCAGGGGTTATTTGCTTATTCATTCAAATATTGAAGGACATCTTGTTTTCTTCATTTTTGGTGATTAGGAATAAAGCTTTTACAAACATTCTTGTGCAGGTTTTGGGATGGACATAAATTGACAACTGAAGTGTACAAACTCCTAGGATCACAAGTTGCTGGATTATGCAGTATGATTATGTCTAGCTTTATAAGAGACTGCCAAATTATCTTCTAATGGCTGTATCATTTTGAAATCCCATCCATAATGAAGGAGAATTCCTATCACTATACATTCCCACCAGCATTTGGAATTAACACATTTAAAAAAATTAGCCATTCTCTAACAGGTGTGTAGTGGTCAATCTTTGTTTTAATTTTCAATTCTCTAATGACATGATGTTGAGTTTTTTCACATGTGTGTTTGCCATTTTCTTTAGTGAGCAGTTTGTTCAGATCTTTTGTCTATTTTTAGTGGTTTTTTTTTTAACTGTTACGTTTTTTAAGAGTTCTTTGTATATTTTGGATACAAATCCTTTGTGAAATATAAGTTTTGCATTTTCCCCATTCTGTGGATTGCCTTTTCATTCTTTTAAACAGTGTTCTTTGTAGAGAAGTTTTTAATCTTCATAAAGTTCATCATTTCTACTTTTTCTCTTATGGATTATGACCTTGGTTTTGCAGCTAAAAGCTTATAAGGAAACTCCAGTCCCCTAGATCTTCTTCTATGCTATCTTCTAATAGCTTTACAGTATTGCATGTTGAACTGATCTCGCTGATCTTTACTGAGTTTGTTTTTTTAAAGATACAAGATCTGTGTTTAGATTTTTTTAATCTTTTGTTTATATTACACACATGAATATTTACAGGAAACAATGAAGGGTTCCTTAATGTGAAGTTGCAATTAAATGTATTCTAATTCCTTTCACTGCAGAGACCTAAATTTTTATGACTATTATCACTTAACATCATAATTTATGTAATAACCAACATTTTTGATTCTCACTTAGACATTTCTGCATCCAATTTTGCATGCATCAGTATCTAATGGCTATGCTTTTGACCCCTCTACACATTTCATCTCTCTTTCTGCTTCTTCATCATGGTGTGATGCAATGGTGGGGAGGGGCTTTGTCAGAACTGGTCACATGTGGTCATGATCTTATAGCCAGCCACCAGAATCATGAGCTAAATAACTGTCTATAAGATAACCAGTCTCAGGTATTTTGTTATAGCAACACAAAACAGACTAAGACAGCCATTATTCTGTACTTTGTATAATGATTCTAAATAATATGCACTGAATGTCAGTGCCCCCAAT